CAAACACAGAAAAACCCACAAACACAAAGTAAACATCCATGCCCTGAGTGGGATTCGAACCCACGATCCCGGTTTCTAAGCGAGCGAAGACAGTCCATGCCTTAGACCGCTGAGCTACCGTGACCGGCGAACACATACTTTACCCGTAATTTTTCTCATAATGCGCAAGCGCAATCGTGTTGCAACAGAATTTTCTTAGGAAATCTGTATACTTAGCCCCTGGCCCTCTGTTGGCAAGTGTTGAAGTGAAAGCTTAACAGTCTGCTGACCATACCCCTGACGTAAGTCCTTGACCTTGATTTGAATTAATGAGGAAAATGATTGCGTAAACAGGAATTTAACTCTCTTTCCCGTTAGATACGTAAATTGTTATGACAGAGAAGACATAAAGTATCTTCGCTCATTAACCAATCTCATGTAAAACACAAAAACGCATCGCCGATACAGAGAACATAATACAAGTATAGTTTCTTGTAAACCAAGTGTGATCACCCTAATTTTGTATATATCTGAAACCAAGAAAATGTTTAGGTTGAATAAAGAGGTTAGTTTATGTTGCTGCGCAACGAGACTTATAGGCTATTATTCTCTTGGACTTTGTTCATCGCCCTAGGGATGTTATGTAGAAACCACATCACTTCGGAAACGGGTTTTATTTCTGCAGGTGGAAAGGATATGAAGGACCTCCTACTCGTTTCGGTCCCTTGGTGCGCTAATACTCATCGCCCAGAATATGAGAATAGACATAAAGGGACTCAGGAGAATGGGAACCTCTCCATAGCCTATCCATCTGAAGTAAGTAAGTAGAGCTATCCCTGTAACAGACCGTGAAGGCCCATAGGGTTGTGAGACGTTAAGGGTCCCACACTATCCAGACAATCGGCTGAAGACAAGATGTAAAAGCATCTGAAGCATAGAAGGCGTTTTCAAAATATCTGTAACACGTATTTATGTAAATGTTTACGATGATGAACATTCTGGATTTTGGCAACGTAATGCACACACACTTCAGCCCTCAAGATGAAGCCATTTCGTTTCAGCCATTGTGTACATGCTTTCTTTCCGTACTAACAGATTAAATTGCAAATTGATAACCTATTGATATCGCTATTAGGAGATCGACAAAGGGATTAACCTTTAAAAAGCGTGAAGTTCATAACTAATATGTTGATATTTTTCACAGCTGGTTGTGTCAATGCTAACCAGAACTGAACTGAAATCTGGTCTTGACAAATTTGCTCCTGTTCAAGGTTATGTGAAACAGAAACAACTGGAGTAGAGATAAAGCCTTTGATAGAAGAAAGAGCCCAAAGTGGACTATATCATGATTCTGCCATGCCTCAGAAGATGAAAATGTCTACCGCTGGCAGTGTAATGCTGACACCATTTTTTTTTCTATTTTACAAATATAGACACAGTTACCGTGTCTGAAGTTTGCTTTTGCCACGTAATTGATAGCGTCATTATTCGCCATGTGATCATAATTATGATTAGTGATTATAATCACTAAAATGTGGCAATAACGGAGTGAAGCAAATTTGTAACTGCAAAAACCCGTCATATATATGTGTGTGTGTGTGTGTGTGTACAATATGACATGTAATATATTAGATATGTAATATGAAGACAAAAAACAATCTTTTATAATCGATTTGAGGTTCTCACAGTGGCGACCATGAAAATTTGTATTTTCAGCACTTGTTTGCTGCCTGCTTAATACTGGTTTATTGCTAGGTTTACCCTTTTACTCTGAAGGTGGAGGCGATATGTTCCTCTGAAACATCATTACTTGCGCAGGAATACACTGCGATATATCACAGAAGACATGTCTCCGTATCGCTACCCGTTCTGATGTCCACTGCTGCTAGCACCCAACTGAGGCAAGTTCTGCTTGCAGTTCCTTACATTTGCTGGGTCGCGGTTCAGATATTTTAACGGAGTTACATCATGCATTTCCCTTAGAGCCGACACAGGTGGCCGTACCGCGTAAGGCAACTGATGCGTAAAAGAGCAGGAGCTGAGTGAAATCAGAGTAGAGCAGATGTTTAAAAAATATCATTGTCAGCAGCTGGAGCAGCAGCAAAGTTCAGACATCTTGATCCATTCCATTCCTCTACTGAACAAGCTGAGCCTTCAAATGGAATTTGAGGTGTCCAGTGATTCCTGTTCCTTTAGGCGTAAAAGGCATTAATTACTTTGGAATACTTTGTTCTGGTTCAATTCTCTTGATTTGACGGGTCCAATTAAGCCTGTTATTCTGTTTTAAATATGATATACGAGTATTTAGTCAATTTATAGTTATTGTCTTTGTAATCTGATATTTTAATACATATTCTGTCATATTTTCTTTTGGTTAGCGTCCACATTTAGTAGGTGAATGTTAATATCGGTATAGCAATACTTTTATAATACTTATATACTTATATGTGTTTATTTCCTTGCCTTTTTATTCAGTACTGTTCTTCTCGTCGCGCATACAAGATAAAATTTACATTTTTTTCTCAATGTTAATTTTCAAAGACCGAATTAATACAGTTTAAGTAGTTAAAACGAATTACTTAGTAAGTGGCTTTATTATATATAACGATTTTCTTATCTTACACGTAATTTCTTTAATTACTTTGATTGTATTTAGTGATATAATTAAACTACCTCGCCAGCATCATCGGTTTTGCTATGATGCCATAAGTCTAACTCCTGCGTTTTGTTGCATCGATACGAGTTGATACAAAAATTTTCTAAGGTATTTTATTTCTGTGACTTATCTGGCCTAAATACAATAATAGTAATGATAATGACAAGAAAAAAAAAAGGATGAACATCTACAGAAAGCTACAAAACAAACTCCGTGGCTTGAGTCCGCAAGCGAACTATACCGGCTGAGTGACCGCCGCTTGTCTGCGAAATTAGTGTCAACTTTAGCGAATAGAAGGTGACATGTGGTCAGCGCAACGAATCCACATGGCCGTTATTTTCGGTTTTCTAGACCGGAGCCGCTGTTTCCTTGAAATAGCTCCTCAATTATCCTCACGAGGCTGAGTGGACACCGTTCCAGATCCACTACTTCTCAGAAAATCTTGTAACTCCGGGATCGATCCCGGGAACCTCAGGTTCTGTAGGCAGGAACTCTGACCACTAGACCACAGAGAACTGCAATAGCACAGAGTTAAACTTGACTTTCACTGAACCACACTGTGTTATATCCCAGAAGATTGAAGTCTTCATGGCCACCGCTGCGAGAACTTCAAATTCAGCAAGAGCTGAACTGGTCGAATCAGCGTATAATCAGTAATTTGAACAAGGTGAAACATTACTGTGCACTGCCTTAAGGAGTTTAAATATTTTCTTCAAACGGGTCCAACGGATTCAACGCAGGACGAATGAAATTTGAACATAACTCTAGTTTGTGCAATATTACTTAAGACTTTCATCAATATTAATTCAAACTCACTGCGCTCTTTAAGACTGGAATCAGAGCAGAACCGAAGATTGAACAAGATTAATTATTTGCATCAAAGTTTTCGTGTTGGAATCAAGGCTTGGTTAGGTGGAGGTTCCATTTTATGAGGAGGGGCTACAATTGCGTTGCTGTTGTTAGGTTTACTACTGACATGACGTCGCAATATCAGTGAAGGGGAGCAAGTACTGAGGTGGCAGCAACTGTGGTCTGAACAACAGTGAGTATAAATGCCCTGTGAAGTGAGGCACGGAGAGGCAGACCTTGCAATGTATATAAAGCACCGCCCAGATTGTGAGAACGTCATTAGGTCTTTGTTTCCACCGTGAGTGGCTAGGAGAGAAGAGAGGACGTGACCAGAGATGAAGGTAACGTACTGTTGTTCAGCTACAGCTTGCATGCCTGTCAGACAGGCTTACGCTCTCAAGTACAGAACTCCTCACGACCTGGACCAGCAGTAACCAAATTGTGGCTCAAAGACCGTTTCGAGAGGCGAGCAATATTCGAAAGGTTTCTCTCGGAAATTTGGCGGGTTTGTGTTCGAATATTATTTGACGAGGAATTTACAAGAATTTAGTTCATTTATATGGTTTGTTTCTATAAAATCAACGTGTTTATAATCTATCATTCATGAATGTTGTGAGGATGCTTTAACTATCTTAAGCAGATTGAAGTAATGAATTTGTAATGACAGAGATTCTTGTGTTCCAATATCAATTTAATTCAAATACAATTTCGCAGATAAAGTTTATACATTTAGACATGTGGCATCTTTTGTTTTCTATTCGATTTGCATGATTTAAATATTATTATCGAACATCCTCTAAGAAGGGAAACATGTTGTAAAAACTGAGTTAATGTTTAGCTACGGGTGTGGTGAGGTTCAGAATATGCCGGGAAAGGGATAAAGGAGGTGTATAAGGAAAGGCAATGCAAGAACAGTGTGCATAACCGTACTCTGATTTTTCGTGGAGATATATAGGTTGGGAGCAGCTAGGCGAAGGTAACCTATATCCAATTTAGGTCGAAATATTTCATGCTGTTCAGAAGCACGCGCTGTTGCCATTCTGCAGTCTTCTTTTGTCGTTACTTGCCTTATAAACTTCAAGACTACGGAATTATAGGGTGCGACATCCTGTAATTTTGCTCATGGTTACACATATTTCGGGGAATTACTACCTCCATCTTCAGGGTAGAATATTCTTCCGAAGCTTTTGTATCTACGAAATTACTTTACATTACATCCCAGAAGTCCCTATCTTGGTACTTACCGCCATGAGAACCTCCAGTCTAACAGGATGATCTGAAATCAATAAATGGAACGGCATCAATTGTATTAGGTTTCAAGGCAGTATTTCAACAAGCAAAACAGTCCCCTAGCAAGCCCAGAATTTCCCTGCCTTTTACGGAACTAGAGGATTCATTACCATGATCAGAACCCGCCACTGATCCCTGTCCGGAGACAAAGGTTCCAATTCCTAACCTGACACAATATTTATCCAAGATTACTTTTATTATTATTACATTGCCATTTTCGCTTTAGTGTTTCAGATTACAATGGACTCTTCATTTTAAGTTTTCCGATAAAATTTCATGTATATTTTAAATGCTTCCGTAAGTGTTCCATTCATTTTCTTCATTTGCTCACCCTAATGATATATAGCAAAGAGTACACATCATGAATCTCATCACGCAATTATCTTCATCCTTCGGCTGTTTTCTAACTCTAGGTTCAATATTCCCATTAGCACACCAATCTCTGCTCTTCCCTTATGGAGAGGGACGAGGTTTCATGTATGTACAAAAATAAACGAGTGAAACTGTTGCGTTATATAAAACTATTATCATTGCCTACGTAGGATACTGAAGCAGAATATCCTGGACTGATTGACAGCAAGCTGTCCGTGAATTGAATCTTCTCATAATATCTCCGTGAACGTAACTTTATTTGCCTGAAGAAGAAGAAAAAAGGAAAACTCCACATTATACGGTCTCCACGCAGAGGTTCAAATGCGAAATTAAAAAAAAAAAAAACGCAGGCGTTTTGACATTTTACATGATTACTCGCAAAAGGAAATAAAACCATTCAGAAACAGATATTTAAATTTTGTTAAAGGAACCAGACGTCGAGGTCTCAAATGTAGGAAACGGGAGAGGAGGTTTGGTGCGTCTGGAATTTTCTGCCTCTGAAGCTAAACACATCACATATTTATAGTACATATATATAGTACCAAGTTTAAGAATGGGGCACGCTGTAGCGCAGTTGGTTGAGGCACTATGCTACAAACCGGAAGATCGCGGGATCGAATCCCTATGAGATGGATTTTTTCAATTGACCTAACCCTTCCAGCCGCACTATGGCCCAGGGGTCGACTCAGCCTCTAACAGAAATGAGTACCGGGAATATACCTGGAGGTAAAGGGCGACCGGTGCGTAAGGCTGACAACCTCACCGCTATCCGTGAGCTGATTGTCTGGAAAATATGAGAACCTCAGTACCTCACAACCCTATGGGTCTCCACTGCCTGTTACAAGGATACCTTTACCTTTTGCCTTACCAAGTTTAAGAATGGATGAACCTATACTCCCGTTCTCCCATATGAATTCGTGACGTTCTGTTTAATTAAGAATAGGGACAGCTTTGTTTTTATCTTTTTTAACCGTTACTGTTGTTGCCATTAATTCGTTCCGTCCACTGCCACTCCCTCTTCATTGTCGGAATAACAAGAATTTATAATTAAGTCTGGCCATAAAATCTCGGTTTATACCCCGGTGGCCTTGCTTCGTTATCTAAATAAAATTAAACAACTCTTGTAACATTACGTAATAAACTTTGTGGAAAGTAACAACTCTAATAGCACTGCTCGCATATGGAGCGTCATATTGGTAAAGAGGCTGACTCGCATACGGAAGGTTCCTGGTTCGAAACTCGTTTGACACACCGCATATGCTAACTCAGGATTCTCTGTCCTCTCCAGGCAAATGCTCATTTTTTACCCAAGAGCGTAAAATGTCGTGTAGTTAGAATCCCAAGTCTCAGAACCCCGCATCATTGGTTTAGCATATTTAATTAAATTCCTGACTGAACTACTAGTCGCAACTTCTTACTGGTACTTCACCCCAAAATATGTCATTCACAATCACTGCATTATTCCATTCAATGCTAAATAGCATCAACAGTTGAATCAGCATAGTAAGATAAAAATCGTGAAATACCATTAGCTTGCCACTGCATCCCTTTCAAGATTTGTCATTTAGAATAAATTTCCACATCTTATTTAATTATAAATTTATTCCTTGCCGTAAACTAACAAGATAGTCATTAAACTAACACGGTCACTTTTATGTGCAGCCTCCAACTGTCCTGACATACTTCATAGTGACGTTGCTGGCAGGTGTCGTGACGGCAGGCCTACTCCGAGTACCAAAGGTCTACAATGCTCTCATTTCTACCAACGAGAAGCTGGTTCCTAGCCGAGCAATTTCGGTTTCTGCTCCGGTGCTTCAACCAGTTGCGTTGGCTCCTGCAGTTCCAGCAGTAGTTGTGACCAGTCCTTATATCGCTGTTCATGACACTGAAGTGAAGTCTAACAAGACTGAGACAGAAGCTAATTCTGAAAATGAAAGTGAGAAGAAACCAGAAAATGGACAAAATGCCACATCCAGTGACTTACCTGTAATAACACCCTTCTCTCTTCCATTAGCATATTACAATTCTCTTACTTATTATCATAACCTTTGGCCCTACTCCTATTCGTCTGTGTCACCTGCCACATTCTTATTTACAGCTCCGTTCACATATCCTGGAATATTTGATTTGTATGGAGGCCTACCATGGACTCAGAACAAGAAACCAGAGTCTGATCCTGCTTCCTCTAAAGACTCAGCTTCTGATGTTCCTTCTGGAACTCAAGATGATCCAGAAAAGGAATCAGTGTCCATCGAAGCAAGTTAATTGTCAGAATATTGCATATGTTGAAACATAATCTGTGGAAGTCCAAATTTTCAGCATTTTTTGATTGTGGAAATTATGAACACATATCATTTAGTGTTTTAAGAGTTTCTGTTGAAGTGACTGATATCTCCATTCTTTTATGCAAATTTTATTGACATATAATATTTATGAACAGAGTCTGTCACAATATTCAGTCCGGCCATGTCATATCCCGTTTACATACTAGCTCTATATCAGTAGAACCGCTGAAGTAAGTGGGACAGGCTTGTGAAGGTTTCACTGTAAGCAAATTTGAGATATAAATAGTTTCTCAGAAAACCAACTAACTGAATCAAGTGACAAAATTACTGTGCCCACAATCTTGGGTCACTCTAATACAAGGCTTTGGGTTTAAATCCCACCCATTATGTGGCCCTGTGTCCAGGTTCTTTTTCCGCTTTGTTCTGTGTAGTCAGCTTTGCAGAATACTTTCATCCTGCCCCATTGAAAGAGGCTTATAGGTTAAATTAATTACTTATGACTGAACTGTAAAAATGGAGTGTTAAGCAAGATAGCAGAGGAAGGAAAACTCTGTCATCTTTTGGATATATTATTTCAGTAAATTTAAATCTAAATCCCATGACAGAAGTACACAAAATGAATTTTAAACATATTAATGAAAACTACAGTATGTAAGTAACAGGTTTATGTTGACAGGTATTCTTATAGTTTCTGATCACAGGACAGAGGAATAAATTCAAATATGAGGCACAGTGTCCTGCATTGCATGATTGTCTCACTGTTTGTTGGATTTTCCATTACTGTTTATGTAAACAAAAATAAACAATTTTTTATTACCATACATGTTTTAGTACGAAATGTGTATGTTGTGTGTACATATGTTATAATGTGTTTGATATGTACCTCAGGTGGAAGCATTGAGGATTTAGTGGAGAAACGTCCTGTATGGCTTAACTTGGAAGACCAAATGCATTCGGGTTGATAGTATTAAAATGGATCTTAAAGAAAGTGAATTACGAGTATACAAACTTAACTGAACTTGCTCAGGATTGTGTCAAGTAATGGGCCTCTATGTGATCTGTGTTGAATCTCCATGCCCTTTTATCAAGAGGCTTTGTTTAGCTATACCAGATTTGAGATCTGAACCATCATGAAGATTCATACTATTCTATTTTTCCATCTACTCTGGTAGATTACCCTTGTTTCTCTGGAACATATTACTTTCATCATCCAGGTAATGTCCTGAAGATGAAGGTAGTATGCCTCTCTGAAACATTAATATCCATGTACCAGAATACACAATGTCATAATGCAACTGAATACAATATTAGTTCAGTGATTTAGCTGGTTATGCTAAAACCAGTCATGATGTATGGATGTGAAACATGGTTCATAACTGAAAAGGATGTTATGTTCAGCATGTGAACAGAAGAAACTTCTGGGTAAGGTGTAGAACCAAAGTAACCAAGAATTGAAGGAATTATGTAAACCCCTTGTTATGATAGTGCATGAATAAAGGTCAAGTTTGGAATGGGTGTGGCATGTAATCAGAATGGTTGAAATAAGTGTGACTAAGAAGATTTTTTAAAGTAAATTGGAAGTTAGAAAAAGTGAGAAGGCCAAAACTGTGATAGCTGTAAGATGGAGAGAGTGATTGATGTGAAATGAATGTGAAGAGTGGTAAGCAAAGGGTAAATAATTGAGAGAAATGGGGATCTGCTGTGAAGGAGGCCAAGGTTCCTAGAGGGCCATGGAGCCAAGGGGTAAATAACTAAGTTAGACTTCTTACATCATTATCAGGATTGTACTTGTATTATTTTAAATTTTTTTATGTACCTCTGATCTTGTATGCAGAATTATTACTAGCCATACCCAATTTTTATTTTTATGGAACTTTGGATTCATTAGCTTTGAGTTTGTAACAGTGACACATACTAAACCTACAGAGTGAAAAGAATAAGCTTAATCACTTTTTTATTTCAACCGTCTTCCGGTGCATACACTCATCTATCTCACTCCTCTCTCTCGCACTACATGTTTGGGCACAAAAGTGCCATCTTCAGGTGCTTATTCGATTTACGTTAAACTAGTTCACTGCATTCCTTGCCGTCTTCATATTAAAATAACTAAAATATATATTTATCATATATAGTGATAAATATTAAATGTTAAAAATATTAAAATTGTTCAGGATTTTTCATCCCTATGTCGTATCTCACTATGCGAGTCACACCTATCCTCTTCTGTCGGAGCAGACATACCCAGCAGGCCCAGCAGTATAACACACTCAGTCACAGGAGCAAGACACAACACNTTATTTTAATATGAAGACAGCAAGGCATGCAGTGAACTGGTTTAACGTAAATCGAATAAGCACCTGAAGATGGCACTTTTGTGCTGAAACATGTAGTGCGAGAGAGAGGAGTGAGATAGATGAGTGTATGCACTGGAAGACGGTTGAAATAAATCATGGACTTAAATCAGTGCAACAGGATGCTAAAATATAACAGTATTAATCACTTTTACTTATGACCACAGAATCATCAAATAAAAGAACTTAGTCCCACCCCACTAGCAATAAAAAAAAAAGTGGTCTGTCTATAGCTTCCCAAACAAGAACATTTCCTAAGGGCCTGTACTACAAATATCAGCAGGGGCCAATGAATAGACACTTCACCTTGAAGATGGAGAGAGCAAGGACATCAGAAATGTCAGAAATGAAGCATACATCTCATATGGTTCCATCACCCAGAAACAGCATATACTCATACAATGGCAATCAGTGTTTGAATTCCATAAAATGCTGTGAATTTATTGATCAGTTCAGTGATAATCAGGATTCTGGTTCAAGGAGTTAGTTCATTTCGGTGATCATTGAAGGTTTGTTGAAAACAGGCTAGGTTGCAATTCAGTCACTCATATGAAGATTATCCTCGCTGGATTATTAAGTGAAGTGGACAGTTTTCTTTAGTCACCAAAGCAAATGCTGTTTTTTTTTAAAGTTGGTTATTTATAAATGCAGTTGTATTTGTAGTTCTTTTAGTAACAAACTGTCAATAACTTAGACTATATATCATCAAATGGCTGGATGACATTCATTAATGGTTTTTAAAGATATGAAAGAAAATGATCATGGCTTAATTTAAAGTAATACTACAGCACTCACCTGGAAGAACTGAGGAAAAATTCAAAATATGTACCTATCAGGAAATTTGGTGCCTTGGCTGAGATTTGACCTGGGAAATTCCTGAATACAAGCCAGAATTATTACCACTTGTGCCATCTCTTTAGTTCCACCATAAAGTTCAGCCATAAAATATTTTTTCTAAATTAAAAATTGAAAATCTATAGCTTTTAACCAGAATTTACAGGAGACGTATGAAAATAGTGATATGGATTTTGTTAAAAATTCAGAATTTTATCGGTGCTAACAGTGACTGGGAGTTGTCAGTTCACCCTAAACTTCTCAATAAGCCAATTTTTCCAAACACAGTTACAACTAAAAAACATTATCTGCCAGTATACTGCATGGTATTAACAAGTCCATGTACATAAACCCTTGCCCACAGACTGAGTATCGTGACTGTTATTCTCTGTTAACTTCCTGTGTTCCTTCATTCAGTTTAGAATAGCACCATAACTGAACGCATTGGAATATCAGGTCAGATTTGTGACAGGTAATGGAGTTCCATATTCAGCATTAACATGCTTGCTGTAACAGTTTCCAGCAATTGCTAATATAATATTTACATTTCATTCTTAGTGGCATGTGTATTATTTAGCTAGCTTGTGGCAGCTGTCTACTATTCATATGTAGTTTCTCTGTGTTTCTGTCTTTTGATTTCCAAGAAAGCAGTGTGTGGTGAAAGCTACAGTGCAGTTTAAATGGCCACTTCATTTGCTTCTAAGTAGTCATTTAAATGTCCACACACAGGGTTGAAACAGGCCAGTACCATTTCCTTCAATGTTTGCTCTACATTCATCATTTTTAATCTACCTATTTGATATCATATAAACTGTGCAGCTGAGAAATAAATTAGGAAATTTTCCAGTGCTACCTACCACCTTCCACAAAATTCTAAAGCCCAGGCTAGTAAGATTGCCAGAGTCCACAGACACATTAAATGAATGACCTGTGAGCTGTCCAAGATATATGTATGTTATATTGCATACCTAAAGCAGAGTGTACTGTATATTGTGATCCTGTAACACTGGTTTTCTGCGTGTAACAGAACAGGCAGGGTTACATTCTGTTAAATGATAACAACATGAAATTATAAAATGTTTACAGTCTTCAGTTATTTAAAACAGTCTAATGCACGTACATAACTAAATATTTTAGTTCACAATGCCTTTTCTTTGATACTGATTTTCCTATTACAGTACATTTATTCATGGTTTAGTTTGTTATAGTTGAAGAACTCAGTTTTCCTCAGTGCATTAAGAGCATAATTTTCTACATGGTTATTCGGATTTTGCACTAAAATCTACATTGGACCAAACATGAATATTCAACAAGAGAGATATATGCCTAAGCCAGGTGCAGATTATCTCCTTGAACAGATGGTATAACAAGCAAAGAAAAAAAAGTCTTTCAGATATGTCTATAAGGGAATTTTATGGCATGCTATTATTTTAACACTTTGCGGACCGGCAATTTAAATATTTAAATCACCCTGGGGACTGGCATTTTTATACCTACTACCTAACTTGTGCACTGTTCACTTTAAAAATTAATATAAAATCTCCTAATTAATTTTATGAACGAAAATTTTTGGAGAATGCTCCTAGAAGTGCTTGAGAGTGTGATATTTCTGGAAACATTCCCTTTTGTGAAGTGGCAGTACACAGAACTTGCACATGTAGACATTAGGCCCATTAGAAAGATTATTGCAAAAAATTTTCTCATTTCTGCTGAAGTGACATCCACCCACTTCATCGCCTTATAACTTCTGTCATAATGTTCACGGTGTTGGAGATAGTATCTGTTAGTTTCCTCATAGCATGTCAAAGAAACTATCTCCAAAAAACAGTTCCACTACTTCAGACACTTGCATTGGTTCCGATGGAATTTGCTTCACCCCTGGATTTCCAGTAAACTGTCCCAAAGCAGACATCTTGTCTACTTTTCCCCATGTGGCTGTCCCCGCAGTGTTGCTACCTGCACATTCGTTGGAGCTACGGTCACTTTCACTTTCACTGTCTGTGGTCACAATTTTTTGTTTGCCCCTGCCACACTCACTATCAGATTTTGAGTTGCTATCACTAGTAGACTCACAAGGGACATCAGATAGCTCATCGGAGAACAAGTCAGATATTTCTTGTTCTCCAAGAAATCGCTTGGGTGTCAACCGCTTTGGTCTTTGATCCATATTGAACTACTGACTGACAGCTTGCTACATAAAGCCTAAAGAAATAAAGGCATTTATTTTCCTTTGCAGGGCCTAGAGTTACAGCGAGGTCTAGTAACTGATTGGTCAGCAGACATTCCAGAGCCTTATAACACAGCTGCAGGCAGCTACGTGTTAGCTAGGTGGAGCCAGAGAGATGTCTAGTGTGTTGCAACTTGTTGTGTTTTAAGAACCTGTTAACATGCGAACGGTCCGCCATGTTTAAAAGCGAAAAACCTTTTAAAGGGTGCGCGGTCCACAAAGTGTTAAGTAATGGTGTTCATATTTTATTTCTCTTCAACACAAAAGTAGTATGGAATCAATCAAAATTATTTCTGTATTCAGATAGTCTTCACCAATCACAAAATTATAAGTGTTGAATTATTTTACTGCACTGACATGTTATGTGCTTAAGTAAAATAATTGGGAATAAAGGTAAGGCAAGTTTAATGTGACCAGAATAAATTACACATCTGAGAACAAATTAATGGCAGGCAGTAAATAGATTAATAATATCTACACCATGTAAAAATATAAGAGTTATTCACTTTACATGAGTCCATTGATTTTAAGTTACCATATTTCAGACTGGTTGTATGAAGTTTCTTTAGTTGGAAACTACTCTCTTTCATCTAGTTGGGTTTAGAATGTACCAGTCTTTACCTCAGTACGCCCGTAAGGCTTAATGGTATGGCTTGGACACAAGGCTAAATTTACCTTTACCATATACAATATATATATATATATATATTCTGGCATGTCTGCTGAAAGCTGGAATAGATTAATCAGCAGAGACAGCCATTTAGAGGCAACAGTTCGTAAACGCATTTCCACGGCTACCAGGTCACATGACCATGGCCTCTCTTACGTGCAACAGAGGGTCATGTTTGTGTCTGCAATGATGTCACATGACAATAGGAGAGCTGTGGAGAGTGGTGTTGCCACCCGGCCTGGTGCCAGGTGGACAGTGTATATATAAGGGAACACATGATACCATGTAACCCACATAAACAGATGAGTGGTGTTTTCTGTTGGGTCCATGCAGAGACTATATCTGGAGAATCAAAACACAAGCCAGTTCATCCAACTCAAGAGTCTATAGAGAAGTCTAGAGAGTGTCTGTAGCCAGACAGACCGGTCTGAGTCTAAGGCTGTTGTGAGACAAGTCACCCCTGGCAGAGGCATGGGAGGTGGGCAGTCCCAACTTCTGTAAGCTGTTGCATAGCAATGCCAAGTTGATTGTGAGGCGACAGTCAGTGAGGACATGAACGTGTGGAACATGGAAGCTGAGGGAGCTACAGCTTTGAAAACCATTACCAGACAACTGGTGAAAACACAGCAAACTTAGAAGACTTAGTGCATGCTGTAATCAATTGCAGAGAGTGTGAATTAGTGATAGCACTGGAATTACTTGTAGTTACAGTCTGTAAGTGTTCAGTAAATCCAATTACCAATCCAAACACTGTCTTCAACCTGAAATACATATCTGATTTGTATGTGTTCTGAACCAACTTGAAGGAAGGAACATCTGATTCTTCAACCTGAGTCCTTGTTTGCAAGAACCTGGCTCTTAGGGAGTAACAGTTTTCTGATTAAGAAAAAAGTACATGATACAAAAATTAAACTAATTTCCCTTAACTTTTTATTCTTGAGCTTGAGTTGTAATTCAGAAGCACTAAAGACTTACTAAAATCAGGTCAAGGCAAAAATGAACTGAGATCCTACGCCAACCTTCCGGCTAGCAAGTAGCACCCTGCTGCATGTCTCCCTCAAGCCATCTCTTGCATTTTGGCCCTTGTTCCATCTACGGACTCTCTATCCCTCTCTTTATTCTCAGTTTATAATCAGTATTGCTGGAGGGGAGGTGTGCAATATAGGTAGGGTGGAGAAGCAGTCGGGAACTCCCACCATTCATCTTCAATCTTTTCTTGACTGAAGTGCAACACAAAGGCCTCTGCATTTGTAGAGTGCAGGGTTCAAACATCTGGATACTGTGATGCAACAACATATAAATAAATACCTTACTGACATAATTATGTCTGAGGAATATGGACATAAATAAGATATCTTGTAGAGGATACAAATAAAGTATTTTGATGGTACAGATGCACGAAGACAACCAAATAGTAAATTCACTGGAAAATGAACTTAGAAATGTGGAAGAGGGAAACTAAAATAACTATGATTATAAGGAATTTCAAAGTGACTGAAGTAACAAATTAAAGGAAAGGCAAATGGAATTATTGCCAGTTACTGAGTACAAGAATAGGGACCATACAAAAATGGGAATATGTGAAAATAAAAAGTAATTCAATTTGAATATGGATTAAATTTATCACTGTCAACTGTTATGTTAAAGTAAACTAATCACCCTTTGCCTCTCTTATTATTCCTGGTTGACTGATGATAAATTATACAAAGTAAAGTATTGTACTGATGATAAATTATGCAAAGTAAAGTAATGTACAGTTATGAGCTAATGACAGGATCACATGTAGGGTTAGAGATCAGAAGTGACAACCTTCCGCCTGATGTAGCGAGAGAAGTAATCTGGTCTCCAGCACTTGCAACTTCCTGGGATGAGGAACCAGTCATAATACAAACGGACCTGGAATAAAACAGATGAAGTCACATGTCACTGATGGGACACAATTTATGGTTCTGAAGTACTACACTTTGTAACATTCAATATCATGTGTCTGCCAATGGGTGATTATGTACAACATGTTTTGATATTTTATCCATTCAAGTTACAGTGCTTCTGTATTCCTCAATTCAGTCTGTGTAACCTCTTCAGTATCATCTGCGAGTGTATTACACTCATATTTCTTTTACATTGATGCCAGAAATACAAATAATAAAGGACAGATCCTTTATTTCTCAGCATAATAATCAGACTAATTCAGACAACTGTCCTATCGATGTACCTCATTTATGATTGCCATGGTGACAAAAAAGGAACCAGTGTTTGAAACTCCTAGTGCACTTTGGTTCCCATCTCATCATCATATCATAAGTGTTTTCCTTTGAAGTACTTCTTCAGTGATTCACAGAAGACATTCTAAGCAGTCTGTGTGGATTCTGTTGATGGGGGTTTGAATTTACTGGGCATTCTCCTTAAGTTGCTGGACAACTAACAGTGACAGAAGGGACTTCTGATATGATGATGTTTGCCCTAATTTCTTCTCAGCTGAAAATGATCAGGTTGTATGCTGCTGAGGCAAATACTTTGAGCACTTGGTGATTTTTTGGACAAATAGAGGGGAGGTCTGATATTTCTTGTTCTGCTGTACATCTATGTTAAATACCAAATACCCCTCATATATCACATGGTCCTCATGTTACTCTTCATTGTTCTGAAGTATTGTCACTTGTTGGGTATGTAACGCGACAAATAACTTCACGCCGTATTGGATATAGCGAATTTATTCCACATTCGCTCTTACACTTACACAATTCACAATTACACAGTTACTGCCATCGGCAGTATCACAATTACTTCCACTGCTCTCAGCGACTGCTAGACTTCCGCTGCACTCGGCAACTTCACGATCCACACTGTGTCACTCCTGATCACGCACTCTGCTCACATACTGTTCTGCTGGCTTTTTATACCGTTCCCTGTTGCCTCGTGTTAACAGCGGTATCGCCTGTTATGTCACCATAGGGGGGGAGAGTGTTTACTGGCCTGTTACTGTAGCAGCAGCAGTGGCTCCGATGCTGTTATGTCACCGCTGGAGGGGGGGGGGCCCTGCATAGCGCAAATATGCCGCAGTATTAAATTAATAAATGTTGTTTAAGTTTGAAAGATATCTTAAGTAACCAGTGCTGCAATAGCAAATGACAAAGGATAAATTTCTGAGCCAGTTTCATCCAACTTCCATTCTCACCACCTACTTCTCTAAGATGCATCCTTAATACTGTTCTTTCAATCCATCTCCTCTGTCTTCTAAGTGTCTGTCTTCCATTCAGGTTTCCCTGTCAAAATTCTATATTCCTCCCCTCTTTTAGTCATCTAGATTTTACCAACCTTCCAGTGCTAGGTGTCCTGTTGAAATCATGGAAGTTCTTCCAAAGACATCATCATAATAATTTTTAAAACTGTAATTTGATTGCTGTTTATACTCCTCGCACACAAGTTTGTAAGATTACAATGTGAAATTGTTATTGCAGTGGACTTTAGAGTGATCACTGTTAGGAAGGGTCAGGTAACACAATATTCATATTAAGTTTCATCAAATTCTGTCAATGCTTCGGCAATGCTGATATCCATAATTGAACCAAAAGATGTAAATAGATGTAACTCACTCATAGAGATTTTGAAGGAGCAAAGTTATTTGGGTCGAACTGATGAATATGAAGTCAATTTGTGGCTACTTGTTTAATACGAAGGTGTTGTTATAACTTATTGATATTTTGCATTAAGCAGTGTTTAAGAATAAACTCAGAACATAACACTGAGTTCAGAATCTTAACTCTATAATCTGCTTTCTAAGGACCTGAATAGCAGTATACAAAATTACAATTCCATCTGTTTTTTATATGAGTGTCAAACTTGGTTTCACACATGGGAAAGGATGGATATTAGCAGTATTTGCGACCAGATTGGTGAACACAACAGAGAAGAAGTAAGAACAGGACAAAGTATATATAATGAGAAGCTTCACAGTTTCGGCCTTTGAGTGATTAAATCCAAAATAATGAGATGACTGGAACAGGAGGCATGACTGGGGAACAGAGTACATAGAAAATTATGAATGCAAACTCAACAGGACAAACTGCTTTAGAGAGCTCAGAAAAGGCAGGGAATTAATGTTAGAATGGATTTTGAAGGAATAGCATGAGAATATGTAAATAAATGAATGGCATGAGAGCATAATTCAATGATTGTATTTTGGAACCTTGTGATTATTGTTTGGATTTAATAATAACAGAAGTTTTAATGACCAGCTGAATAACTGTGTGATACTTGAGGTATATTAGAATGATTTTCTACCTGAAAACAGCCTATGTCATCAATTCCATCACAATGGGAAGAGTTTTTGCTTGGTGTCTGTGTTGTTATAGTTGGACTGTCTGTAGATGCTGGTGCTTGGACACCTGCTCTTTTTCGCAAGTACTGTTGATAATTCTGGAAATCATGTACTGGAGGTGGATTTTCGCCCGTCACAGGATTTCTGTGTGGTGGCCATCTTCCTCCTGGTGCAGCTGGCAGGAAAGTATCTGGGTAATAAATTTCTGCAACGAGTAGGCTTGTCCATCTTGGTGAAGACATGCAGCCACCATCAAGGTAATGACAGCGTGATTGCCTTAAACAGAAATTATTTCTTACAATTGTGAGTTCTTTGCACAAAGTACATATAATACATGTGTGTCTGTTTCTCTTTCTCTGAAACCACAGAGATTATCGTGAAGTCTGGTATAGGAATCCATGCTGAGTAATGCTGAACTCAATTTTTGTGGATTTTTCTTCCATTCTATTTTACATGAAGGGGAAATATGATATGAAATTTCTCAAACATAGAAAGTACTATTGCATGACTTAAAGTATAAAAAATTAAGATCTGAAAGTATTATTTAAAAATGTATAGATACTGCATTTACTTAATGGACAGTGCCACAGCTCAGGCAGTTAGATGTTGGTTTCTCCACATTCTTCTATTATTTCTAGTGTATTTGTTGCTGCGATAATGTTTATACTGAGCTGTTGCCTAGCAACAATAGAGGAATACACATACAGGTACAGAGACTACAGGAGAGATTTATGAATTATACTGTTGAGATGGGCTCATGTATCATGTTATACATATCAAATTTTTTGAGTTTGGTTCTGGCATTTGAAAGATGGTAGGGGGGGATATACAGATAGACACATGGACACACAGACATAGCATGATTGTCTCATAAGCCCACATTTATGTATGTAATGTAAGCTAAAAAACTGATCATCCTCAATGTTGATATAATCAGAAAAAAGAACTGTGTAGCAGAATTTATAGGCTGGTACAGATTGGTATACCTTTACTAAGAAAGACACTATCAGCACTGCCAACTGGAGTTAAACATTAAAATAGTGTTATTTATTAACTAAAATATTAAAACTATTCTCAATAGAACTGTCTGAATGTAACTTCATAATATTGTACACACATAGTGCATTTAAATCACCCACACATACTCACTGCCATCTGGTGGGAACAGTATTAAATTTGAATTTCCCATCGACATACAAATACTGGAAGTGTGTACAAACTAGAATCCAACAGTTTTCTAATGATGACTTATATGTGTACATCACTAAATGACAATGACACACCCTGGTTTGTGGACTGGCCCAAGAACAGCAAGATCATCATAGTTACAAGAATATACCCCAAGCTGAAGAATGAAACTAAAATATACCCTCGATTCCCATTGGATAATTGATAAATTGGACCCCAGAGCCATCCTGCATGTAGTACTGAGAGTAGTTCAGTCCCAAATAACAACAAAGTACTAGCACACAAATTTGCATTGTGGCCCGGATCTCAAATTGTTGCTTGCTATAGCACAGTTATGTAAAGAGTGGCCAGGTTTAGCATATACATTAAAAATAGTGGCTGGGCCTAATAGAATAATGAAATAGAAAAAAATTGTCAGTAGTGAATAGGGTGACCAACTCTCCCGTATTTCCCGGGATCTCCCGTATTAGAGCTAATTTTTTTGGATCCTCCGCTCCCGTATTGACCTTGTATTTCTCCCGTGTATTTCATTAACAATCAAGATCACAAAATTTAAATTATATATTATTCCCGCCAAATACATTCCGATATAAACTGTCATTATTATCGACAGTTTAGACTCACAGGTACTCATCGATAAATATCGAAAAATAACCTATAATAATCGATGGAGAGTTTAGCATATACTAATCGATAGCGGAATATCCGATTCCGGATTGTAATATTTTCTGTTGTTGTTTCTCGCCGTGTTCATCCTCATGCTTTTAAATAATTACCAAATTGAATCCATTTTCATAATGAGTAGTGACAGTGAAAGTGAAAGCAACAATGCAAAAACTCCACCTAAGAAGAAAACTAAATGCTTGTGTGTTTACTTGAGAAAATGGGAAGAACAATATTTGTGGTTAAAGTCTGTGCCCTCCAACGCTTACAGAGCTTATTGTATACTTTGTAAACGTGAGTTCAGAATCGCTCACGGGGGTAATACCGACTGCAGACAACATTCTTGCACAGAAGGGCATAAACGAAAGGAAAGGGACGTGAAGACCTCTTCAAATTTACACCTCTTTTTCGGGAACAGCAGCAAAGACTTCAAAAACGTTGCAGGTGAGCTAGCATTGGTTTTCCATATTGTAAAACACAACATCGGCTACAGAAGTATGGATTGCGCAAATAAGTTATCGAAGGATATTTTCCATGACTCTAACTTGGCTAAGAAGATGTCCTGTGGCCGAACAAAGGCAGAGGCTATTGTGAAAAATGTTCTAGCGCCAAGAAGTGTGCAAGACTTCATCGATGTGTTGAAGGATCCAGCAAAATCAAGCAACTTTTTCTCTATTGCAACTGATGCCTCCAACCACAAAAACAGAAAGATATTCCCGCTGGTTGTGAGGTATTTTGACCCTCTTAGTGGTGTTAAAAATAGGCTCCTGGACTTCATTGAACAAGCTGATGAAACAGCTAATGCTACCCATAATTTGATCAAGTCTTCACTTGATACACACAAGTTAGATATAAAAAATCTAACTTCATATTGTGCAGATAATGCAAATGTGAATTATGGGAAGCATAATTCTGTGTTCAAACTACTACAAGAAGATAACAAAAATGTGCTTAAAGCAAACTGCTCAAATCATATATTGCATAATGCCACAAAACATGCATCTGATGGATTAGATGTGGATATTGAAATGATCATCTTAAAAATATATGGACACTTTTCGGTATCAGCAAAAAGAAGGGAAGAGTTGAAGTCATTCTTTGATCTTGTTGATGCCGAGTTGGAGATTGTTCGTCATGTCCCCACTCGTTGGCTTTCCCTAACATCAGCTGTGGACAGATTCATACAAAGCTGGTTACCTATTAAGAGTTATTTCAAAAGTGTGAATGACTGTCCAACAATATTAAAAAACATTTCAGTGATAAAGATCCAGAAAAGGAGTGTGTTATTGAGGCATATCTTAATTTTTTTTCCAACATTGGTGCAGTACTTGTTCAATCTGCCAAAATTCTTGAAACTGCTAATCTTAGCATCATGGAATGCTACAGTGTAATGCAATGTGTAGGCAATAAAATTCAGTAGAGGACAGAGGACAGGTTTTTTGGTACTGCCACAGAAAAATTTTTAAACTGTTTGAATCCACCCCTGCAGAAATGTGCTAGAGATGATTTTGTTAATTTCTACTGTTGCTTGCACAAGTACATTTCTAAGAATTTTGAGTTATCAAATGCAAATCCTGTCCATTGTCTTTTGCCATTAAATTTAAACACTGAACTTTCTTTCAGACATTTTCAAACCATTGTAAAAGAATTTAATCTTGATTTTGTAAATGAGGACAGCCTGTATGAAGAGTTTTCTAGTGCAAAAAGTGTTCTGAATGTGGTAAAAACAGGACATATAGAACAAAGTTGGTTCAATATTTTCAGTGATTTAAAAAACAAACAAATTGATGTGCCAAACCTTATTAAGATCTTAGGCTTTGTTTTAAGCATCCCAGGCACAAATGCCCATACTGAAAGAATTTTTTCACTGATGAGCAATAAATGGACTGACCAGAGAAATCAAAGCAGCTTAGAACTAATTAAGTCAGAGCTAATGGTAGCAATTAATTATGACTATAGTTGTAAAGAGTTTTTTAAATTTGCACAAGATAAAAAATGCTTAGTTCTGCAGCATTAGTGGACAAATGCATGTAGGTTAGGACTAAGAAACATGCAAATTTGTAAAACTTATTCTATATTGTGACCTGTATATTATATACAATGTAAATTAATTGTTTTGTTTAATATTATCCATTCCATGAATGTTTGCTGGACTGACGCTGCGCTGCTAAAAATGCGCAAAATTGTCGCTTAAATTCATGACCGAAAGTTGGTCACCCTAGTAGTGAACCAGTCCTCAAATATATGCTGGTAAATTATAAATATTAACTAGTTGTGAGACAGTAGCCAGATACTAAGGCAAAAATGTAAATGTGACTGGTTCTCAAATACCAGCCAGTACTAGCAAAGAAATAGTAAACAATGAGCAGTCACTCTGCATGTTATAATTCTTCTTGTAATAGTCTTGCAGGATTTCATAATTCTCACATTTGCATTATCTCATTTTCTACATTTAACCCGTTTCTCACTTTCATTAATCTAGGTTTCCAAGTTAAAATAATGTTATTTGACTGAAGTTGAAATATGAGTCAGTGCCCATCTTAGTGGTGAATACTAGCAAAAAAACTGTAAGCACTATGTGATCATGCTGCTTGTTACCATCCTCTTCATTGCGAACCATAACCTTAACAGTAATGAAATAAGAAATTTGTACTCACAGACATCTAGTCACTTCTACAGTCTGAGTGAAATAACCTTCATATGGGATCTGCACCACATAGCGCCACACACCCTGGTAATTCTTGGCAAAAACAGGAGTTGCATAATCCACTTTGGCAGGACAAGGTGTTGGTGGCAGGGAAGGATCATGATGCCCACCCACTGCAGTCATAGAAGTACCTTCCCCTCTTCGATACTCAGGTGTTTCTCCGCCAACATCATCTCTACGTTCAACAACTCCAGAGGCCAGAGGTTCTCCATTGAACGCTCTGTATAGCATACAGAATCTGTTGCCAAACACATATCAGTCCCTGTATTACTTCAATTATAAGTTGCCTGAAATAAAGGATGATATATTTGTATAATGAAAATTATTTTAAGCACAGAGATTATTATTTGGGCCACATAGTTTAATATTGAAATGCTATGCAGAGTATATTTATGTGTTTTATATGATTTTCAGAGTTAGCAGTGGTTGTTTACCTAAACTGTATTACCAAACTGCGGGGTATGGATGAAAAGTTGGTAACATATATTTCAATGGAAAATGAGATATATACACTGCTAACTTCACAGTGAGCTGTTCATCTCTAGATATAAGAACTGTGGCTCTGTTTTACATGTTTGAATACAAAATGCCTAAGTTGATAGGCCATAATATTTCTGTATGGACACAGAGAAATTTGAGCATTGTTCCAGCATATTGTAACATGTTTGGAGTAGATACTTCCATGGCAACGCAATAACAGTGGGCCGCTGCATAGACAATGCCGAAACAACGAACGCGTTTCCCCAGATATGAACAACAGAAGGCCATTGAGTACCAGTGGATGAGATGAAAGACGTTACTGCTGTAATGTATAGAGATCGTTCCCGAAGCAACGGATTGCCGAACAAGTGAGATTGAACCTTGGCGAATGGTGTCTCATATGTGGTCCACAGAACACCTACATACTCGTAAGTCAAGAGTGACAGAGCTGCAGGACGACTATCAAGATCTAGCCTTCATACAAGACAGTTGGAACCTAGTTGAGACGTCGCAGAAGCCACGTGATACCACAAGCGATAATACTTGTATGGTGTATAAGTGTGAGTGTCCAATAAAGATTCGCTGAATCCGAGACCCACGTGAATTTATTTGTTGCGTGACATACCCAACACGTGACAATATTGACAACACCACATGGTGCAGAACATCAGCATGAATGCACACAGTACAAATAATATGTCATGTCCATGCTCTCATTAGAATACTCACCTGATACAAGATGTGGTTCTGACTATGTGTATATTGGCAATAATATTTGCCAAGTAATAGATTAGATCCATCAGACTCAGGAGAATGGCTCTGTGCTAAAATCTTGTACACATGACAATGAATCTTAGTGTTCCTTAAAAGTTGGGCAATTTCTTGACAAACTGTGAAAGCATCAGTTTTTCAAGATGGGCTCTCTGTATTCCATGGAGTCAATTCTTTTGTTAACACCAGGAAAATTCTTGTGTGCCCTGTCATTCATACAGACAGCTTCAGATTTAGCAGGTCATATTGTAGGCTATGTTATGACTTTTTCAGTGAAACTTTATAATAAATATTTAGTTCAGTGTGCAGTTCACATAGGCCAGAAGCAGGAATCACAATGCATTATTATATAGACAAATTAAAATTCTCACAGCAATTTTTAAATGTACCCCCCGCCCTTCTCCCGAATATCAAACGCTATCAAAATCATTTTAAGTGTGAACTGTTTGGATGGATATACACGACCTTTCCTTTTCACAAACTGAATTTGAATATATAAAAGGTTCAGTACATTGTAATCTAGACTCACACTCCTCCTCCATTCTCGCAGAATTTCCTGGCTTCCCGTTTGATGGTACTGATTATCGTCTTGTCTCTTGCCTGCCTCGGTTGTTCATTGTCCTCATCAGGGTGAGATGTCTCAGCAGCCCTCTTTAAGCGGTGTCTGTGATCTGGCGCTATCCTAAACAAAACAGATCACCAATAAGTATAGTCAGTAATGTTAAAATGTAACTGTGCGGTAAACAGTGAGAAGTAAAAAACAGCACAGGATAACCAGAGCTTAAAAAATTATGGCAAATCGTGTTTAAGAAATTGAACGGGCACTGAGCAGCCAAAATCTTTCAGGAAGGATTTTCATGATAAGGCTGCTGTTGTTATGTTCTTTGTGTATTTTAACTCCTTTTTCTATATTTGCTCACATCCTCTGTATTAATTTATTTTTCTTTCTTCACCGCTTGCCTGTACTTTGCTTTTAGCTGTCATCAAGAACGGTAATAAATTATTATTATTATTATCATCATCATCACTAACACAGTTATTTTACTTAACTGATATTGTTAAATCATTAATAATACTTGTAATATTTAAGGTTTTCTGTTCAAATCCCAAATGTTATTTATTTCACTGTTATATTCTTTGTCCATTTCAGTTTATATCAGTCTGTATTAATTAGCTTTCTTTCTTCAGTGTTTGCTTGTGACTGGCTTTTAGCTGTTGTCAAACTCTGTAAAGAAGGAACTAAACTGAATTAATGACAATGTTTAACCTTGCAACAATGAGCAAAGTAAAGGCACTCGCATGCATTATTGTTAGAATGTCTATGAAATATCTTCTCCATGTAGAGAACAGTCAGTATAACATCACTGTGGAAACCTGTCACATTTATTTATCTCTATGTAAAGTATCAGACTGGCTATAGGGTTCACCCAGCATTTTCCCCAAGACTAAAGTGGTTGGGGCATGAAGGTGACCACTCACCTCCAACCAGTGCCAAGGTCAAGAAAAGGTGATCTATACGTCCACTCCCCAATAGGTATTTATGGTGAAGTGCTTAATTACTTAAGAACAGAGACAGCTTTACCTTTACCTATATGAGGTATTGAAGTCATGTATACTTTCATCTATCTGGCTGTTTTCTTCTTGACATGACAGAAGAGGTGGATAATTACTTTCAATATATTAACATCAATAAAAATTATAAAAACTCGAACAAAATTTATTATAGAATTTACTGCTGTATGCTGGGCTGTGTGGAAAGTCAACTTGCCTTAGGCAAGTGGGAGGGCAGTGTTTTTTAAGCCCTGAAAGCAACAGTTTTTATTCCTTACCTAATACACAGTAGTTAGTCTGAGTCAAGATTAAGTTTGATGGAGAATGTACTAAGTATGGAACAAACAAGAAATTAAAAGTATTTGTCATGAAATATCACCATGACAGAATTTTGATAATGTTAAATATCTACCTCATACTAACCACCTTTTACTTAAGTATAACATTGCGCTATTTTGGCCCCAAAAAAAAAAATACATGTTTTTTTTTCCCATTTGAATCAATACTAGATAATTTTACTTAGTCACATGTTGCAGCACTTATGTGCCATCATCAGACCATCACAGTATAAACACAAAAAATTTAACATCAGATGACATACAGATTATGTTCTAAACAAGATAACAAGATGAGTCCATTAGAGAGTAGTAACATGTGTCTAGTACAATTACAAAATTTTGTTTATACATTAGTCTGTCTAAGCTCATGTGTTCATGTAGATGGGAAAGAATAAGTAAGTTGTTTCGAGAAATAAGGCAACACGGTTTAGAGTGGATTGAAGTGGCACAGGATAGGGTCTAATTGCTTGTTTTTGTGAACAAGATAATGAACTTTTATGTTACATGACAGCAAGGAATCTCTTGGCCATTTGACTTACTGTCAGCTTATGAAGTAATACCTATATCCCATGGAGTTAGATACGTACGAGTTATGGGCAAGGGAACTGGTAGGCCACTGGGCTGGCTCCTGGTGGTACTTGGCAACTCTAGGCAGAGTCTCGTCTGCTTTCAGGATAGGCAGTGTTTGGCTGAAGAACTCGAGGGTCTTGTTGCGCACAAGCTCACTGACACAAAAACAAAATCAGTTTATAGTACATGTCATTTCTATTGCTACATCAAACTTCAGGAGGTTAGGGAAACAGAAAGTAAATTAACTTTAGAATACATTGGATATTCATGAAACTGACAAGTTTGCTGCAGGTATACTTTAATGACTACCATGGCTGTTCTTTATTTCATGTTGTGTTGGCACTGTATTGTCACTTGCCACTACCCAACTTCTCTCAGCACGTGGGAATTAGTCATTAAGCAAAGCAGGATACTTCAGAACGGAAGGATGAATTTTCTGCATATTATCCAGCATTGTAACTTTTATTTCAGAAGAAATTTTGGAGACCGGGCTCTGACCCCATCCTCAAGCAAAAAGCCTACTCTATTAAACCCAATCAATTGAACTAGTCCCAGTATCTGTCATAATAAAAATATTGTCATGGGTTGAGTGTGTCACGTGACAAATAACTTTATGTAGGTCTCGGATTTAGTGAATCTTTATTGAACATTCACTCTTACACACCATACAATCGTTATCACTTCAACTGTATTCTGTGGCGGCTATCTTCCAACTGTCTTGTATGGCGACTAGGTTCCAACTGTGTATTGCTGTCTGTAGCCCTCGGCTTATATAGGTGTTCTGCGGACTCCGTAGAGGACACCTCTTGCCAAGGTTCGGTGTCACGTGTTCGGCGATCCGTTGCTTCGGGAGCGCTCTTTATACACTGGTAACAAGTTTCGTCTCATCCGTTGTTACTCGACGGGCCTTCTGTTGTTCATCTCTGGGGAAACGCGTTCGTTGTTTCGACATTGTCTATGCAATGGCTTGCTGATATTGCGTTACCATTTAAGTATCTACACCAGACACGTTACATTATGATGATGGATAATACAAAAATATTTCTGTAGTAATATACCATTGTCACAAACTTTTAGATCATATTGAACTTCAGAAAGTTTTCAGTTTCATGAAGAGAGATTTTTTAAGGTTGAGCTTCTTTCTTTGCTTTACAGCCTGTAACCTATCTTCAAGACACTCTAAAAATTGCTTACAAAGGGTAGACTGCTCCCAGCACTTTCTGTCGCATTGGATTCTGTGGGATGAAGCCTTTGTTGAGGTCCCCGCATAAGTTGTAGAGAGAATTCTGCCGATTGTGACCAAGTGTACCTGACCAACAAACAGAAAATTCTGTTAAGAATATCTCTGGAAGCACTCTGTACCTAATGCCTACTGATTAGAAGTCAACTGGTAAGTTTTTATAGGAAATACGGTATTATTTTCGTGACACATTTTTAAATGCTGAATTAAGCATGTAAATGAAACTTTCCCACACAATGCTAAAGAAGTTCTGAGAAGAATTTACAGTATATTTGTGCAAATGTGTCCATTTACGGGAAAGCTACTGGGAATTCTAAATTAATAATTATTACACTATGATCACTTTTCTAAATGATTAACTCATGGCTTAAAATCCTTCAGGCTCCTGATTGTCTCTCAGCTGTTCAACGATCTGACAAGCCAGACTGGTCAAGTAATGAACTGCATTAAGCAGAATCCTTGACAAGCTAGCAGTCCTCTAGCTAGTCAAGAAATTCCCCACCTTATGGAACATGTTTACAAGAGCTCATCAGTATACCCTAATTTCAGCTATTTGAATCCAGTTCATACCCCCACATGCTATATCTTCAAGATGCTTTAATATAATTTTTAATGTAATAATACAAATGCCGTTGTGAATGCAACAATTTATTTGGTTCTAGTTCTTTGTCTTTTATTCCTCTACACTACAAGTTTTGGCCGTAACTGGCCATAATCAGTTAACATATACGAATAACGTAAGAACATAAAATAGTAATATGAATATTTGTGTATTACAGATAATACATGAACGGTGCTGAAAACAAGAAATAGCCGCTGCAGCACATGTAAACACAGAGCAGGTATCCCTGTGATTTGAAATTTTGAATTTTAAATTGGAATTCTAAGATCAAATTGACGAGCGTATGTCGGCGAGATTTTAAACAAAACTGACAGGCTGGTTTAGATTTTGGATTGTGTGCAGTGTGACAGCTACGTAGTGAAAAATACATGTAATGATGGCCAGTTAGGCTGAAACATGTAGTGTAGAGGAAGACAAGACAAAGAACTACAACCAAATAAATTTGTTGCATTCACGAAGGCATTTGTATTATTACATATAGAAGTGTATAGTGCAACAGGATGCTTAAGTATAATATAATAATTTTTTAATACAAGGGTAAGTCTATAAGTAAGTTACAAATGGATATAGAACTTAAAGAAATAAGATTACTGATTTGAAAAATGTTTTTATCTCTCAACATAATCTCCCTGTACATTGAGGCACTTGTCCCATTGTTTCACAAGCCCCTGAAAACCAGCAGCATAAACTTCTTTGGGCTGCTGTCAGAACCAGGCAGTGACTTCCCTTTCTACGGCTTCATCGTCGGGAAAATGTTCAGCCTAAAGATGATGTTTAAGAGGGCTGAACAAATGGAAGTCGCTTGGAGCAAGGCTGGGGCTGTATGAAGGATGCTTGAGGACTTTCCACTTGAAATTTCGCAGCATCTCATTTGTCTTGTTGGCAGTATGGGGACGCGTGTTGTCATGCAAGAGCAACATGCCCTTGGTGAGGAGTCGTGGTCGCTTCCGTTGAATGACCTTGCGTAGTTTCCTGGGGATGTTAGTATGAGGCAGCATTTACAGTTTTTCCTTGAGGCTGGAATGCAGTGAGTAGTATGCCTTCGTGATCCCACAAGACTGTGAGCATCACTTTCCTGAAGGATGGTGTCACCTGAAACTTTTTTTGGCATGCAATGCAAGATGTTTCCACTGCATTCATGCACGTTTTGTCACCTGTGACAGTTCGGGCTATCATATCGTGTCCTTCATCGTGGTAGCATTGAGATGCTGTAATGCCAGACCCATTCATTGCATTTTGTGTTGTGGGGTCAGCATGTGCGGCACCCATCTTGCACAGACTTTGTGAAAACCTAACCTGTTATGCATTATGAGGTAGGCCATGCCATGTGAACAACCAATAGCAGTGGCTATAGTGTCTATAGTTACCCATCTGTCTGCTCGGATTAAGTCTTCAACCCGTTGCAATCTCCTTTGGCCAACCAACGCAGTGTTCGTCTTCGATATGTGCCCGTCCTTCAGAGAACTTCTGAATCCAATTGTAAACAGCTTGACGTGACAGGCACTTCTCACCGTAGATGGGAAGCATTTTTTTATGATTATTCTTTGATTCCATACATTTTGCCCACAAAAATCGCACAACGGAGTGCTGCTCGAGGGTTATACACTCACTCAGAGGCACCGCCATCTTGCAACTACTGTTTCGCTTTTGTAAACATCGATCGTCTCCTGTCGAATGTCATCAATTGCCACTGGACTAATGGTGCCATCTAGTGGCGATAGCCTCAAGTGCCTCATTCCAACATGTAGTACCCCACATCAATTTGTAACTTACTTATTGACTCACCTAAGAATTATAAAGTGGAGTAAAGAAATTATGAAGCTCTTCGTTGATTAACTTTGTTATCCTGTTACTTCATCTGAAGAGAATATATGATAAAAATGGCATCATGTAAGGTATAAAAGCAATTAGACCTTACTAAATGTTTAATAGGCCGTGCCATAGCTCAAGCGGTTAGTTGCTGGCTTCCCACCGTGGCGGCCCGGGTTCGATCCCGGGTCTGGTCAAGTGGGATTTGTGGTGGACGAAGTGGTGCTGGGGCGGGTTTTATCCGAGTACTTCGGTTTCCCCTGCCAATCTTAATTCAACCAAATTCTCCATCATCATAATCACCCGGGGCATGCTACAATAGGTAAATCAGTGGCCACGGTGTCGAGTGGACCCAGTTGGACTCCATCCATCAATAAGCAAATTACAAAAAAAGGCTTAATCTGTAACAACATGGCAAAAAGGATGAAAATAAAACTCGCGCTTGGGTGATTTTAATAAAAGAATCAAAGGACAGTTGTGTTTATCATATTATAATCTCACTTTCTGTTGGAAGAAGTGAGAGTTGACAAAAAAGGAATGGTAAAAACCAGTTTGGAACACACAGGATTACTAAAAGTTTTTCATGCTGTTCTTATGTTTGTCTTGATAGGCATATTCATTTATTGCGGGTACAGATATGTTGCTGACACAGCTAATTATCAGAATTATACCGACTACAGTGGTCAGTCATTTTACACTGTATGCACCATTTCAAACAAAATTGACAGACATTGATGAGATATATTTTGCATCAAGCTTTTGTTTTGAAAACTAAGTTCTTGAGAAATATGTTAAAGTTTAACTTGAATTCCACATGGTTCATAGATTACAGTTGGTCTACTCTGAATAAAGTGAAAATTAATAGAGGAGTTACATATATCCCATACCAAATGAAATTGAATACTGTTTGTTTCCTTAGGGGCAAACCATGCAGACTGATACATGAATGGATAGATATTAGATCCAAATTAGGGAAGAAAGAGTTATGGCAAGCAGTGGGTAATTGTATGCACATTAATTTTGAAGTTCCAAGAAGACACAAAGAAGTCTACATCACACAGTTGTATTTTAGCATCCTGTTGCACTGATTTTCATCCACAACACTCGCAGCTAAGAAGGGAACACACATCACAAGACACGGTTTACACAGAAAATAAGAAAAATGACCCCATAGTGAATGAACCACACGCAAGTTTTAATTAAGACACATAAGATAAATAATCTTAACAAGTTTTAGTGAGTGTAAATTTATTATAGTTGACAAATACACACTTTTTAAATACTTTTTAAATGGTGTTGTGAAGACATATGAGGGCAAGCAATGCAATAGATTAACATAATTAGGGCACCTCATGATGGCACTATGTTGCCGAAACATGTGAAGTAACAGGTGAAATTGAGTGCACTACAAGATGGCCACTACATCACACAGTAATGTAGTAGAAGCTTCCAAAAATAAGTGTTAATTGTCAGCTGGACTTCTAACGAACTGTGAGCTTTTTATGCCCATTTTCGTTTTTATGATTCATATTGTAAAGAAGACCTGAAATAAAATCTTCAGCAGGTCAAAAGCTATTAAGTATCATAAAAGCAAATAATGTGTAGACGTAGTGTGTTCTTTGACTGCTAATTTCTTCTTAAGTTTTGCATGCTTGTGTACAGGTCGAATTAAGTCAATGGCATCACAATAGGTATTTGTAATCTGCAGATATTGCAGTAAATTTCGAGTGCAATTCTTTAAGTGCATCAAGTTCGACGTCTTTGATGAACATCTTTGGCATTAAATTGGAGGCATACCTAAACAAAAGCACTAGTAATTTATTGCTTTATATATTTTCTAGATTTTTTTTTGGTTTCTGTAACACATATTCCCTCCCATTAATTTGAAAGTTTAAACTGTAGCTACACATATGTATTGGTATGCGTTCATTCAAATTATTATATTTATGGGTAATTTTGAAATCTGTTGTCTCTTTCAGCCAAAATATTTTGTGTTCCATTACTCCACACAGATGGGTGATGCTACAGTTTACATATTTTTTCTTTTGTTTTTAATTAATAACACTTTTCTGAGAGATGTTGTTTTGTTGCTTATACATGACAAAATTGGGTAACTTTTCTTCATGGGCGAATGTTTGAAAATTGGGAAAACACAATGAATAACATTCTAGAGCAGTTCAAATTTAGGCGCGTACAGTTCTCAGTCTTCCACCTATATATTCTTGTAATGAAAAGATCAATGGAGTCAATAAATCAGTTCACTTAACAGATATTTGAAAGATTGTAAGATTTTACACTGTGTAAGTGTGGCTTATATGCCTGGTCCACACACAAACCTGGACACTCCTTGTCCGACTGATGATACGGCGGACGCCTGACTCTGGGTGGCTCTGCATTTGGAGATTCGACGAACGCGTAGTAACCTTCAGGTGGTTCCTGCACCACCTCAGATCTTTGCGGGGTTCTTACACCGGCACACAGCACCATCATTGAACACACCACGCAAATCTGAAACGATGTATGGCAGTATGAGCCACATTTACATTTTTATTTATATAGATGGGGCACGCGGTAACGTAGTTGGTTGAGACACTATGCTACAAGCGGGTTAGAGTCCCGATGAGGTGGATTTTTCAGTTGACTTAATCCTTCCAGCCGCACTATGGCCCTGGGGTCGACTGAGCCTCTAACAGAAATGAGCACCAGGAATCTTCCTGGGGGGGTAGAGGGCGTCCAGCGCATACGGCTGACAACCTCACAGCCATCTATGAGCTGATTGTCTAGAAAATGTGGGATCTTTGACGTCTCAAACTTTGTGGGCCTCCACGGTCCATTACAGGGATAGATTTACCTTATATTATGTTATATTACGAGTATATTATATTTATTATTGTTGTTATAAATTGTCTTATATTTTCATTTTATTTGTGCCTTTCGTTTCTTTTCTTTACACGTTCTTACTTTGTAATTGCCTTTTGGACTGTTAAATTAGCACGTAAATCAGTAAGTTTGAATTAAATTATTATTGCTTTATATGACGAAAGCTTTCAGTTCCTGAAACAATACAGCCACGGATATTAGTACAGTGGATAACAAATTGCGAAAGATGGGAAGCGGTCGTGGCCTAATTTGCGGCGCTAACCAGGCGTTGCCTGGATGGTCTGAGAGAAGCCTCGAATAATCTCACTTAGGTGTCCAGGCCGAGAACTGGACACGGGCCACACGAGCCTTGCTGCACGCTCCTCTCCACTCAGTCCTGATTGACGATTGTGAAAATATTTCTTTATGGATCAGGAACGCACCGGGCAGCAGGTATGGCCAAGAGGCTCTAGGACCGTATGCGGACCGATCTCTGAATCGTCACTTCGACTCCAGGAAGGAAGGTTAGTCAGTCCCTTAGAATGAATTGAATACAAGAAATCTGCTGCGTCCAATGAATACACCTAAATCAGCGCTTGTTTGAGGCTTCAGATCTTCTGAAAATCGTCACATGCGGCTCAGATATTCAGTAAGAACTGCCACCCCTGCTGCATAGCGTCGTGAGCGGAAGGATAATTGGTGAACAGGAAGAGATCTGTCAGGGAGCGACTATGGCCTTATCGAAGTACTATCTTGGTATTTTACTAAAAGTATTAAGGCACATCATGGAAAACTCGGTCAGCGACGGTCAAGATTCCAACCGAGCACCCCCCTCACCGGAATACGAGTCTTGAGCGCTGAACGGCATCCTTCTCATTGCAGAGGAGAGCAGTTAGTTGCTGCTGGCCTCCGCTAGCTGTCACTCTTGGTTTCGGGCCTAATCGGGACCAATGATCACATTTTTGGTCGTTCCAAAACACTTGTGTGTTTCGAAACGGGGTCTCTTCCTCCTCGAATTTTCTCCCTGCTCGGTATGTGTGAACTATGTGATTTTATGGTTAACAACACAAGTACTATACATGCTTTAGAGGATATCGTAATAGTAACAATGTTGATCAGGAATCATTATGATAACAACAGCACTGATGATAATGGTGGTGGCGACGACGAAGTTAATAGTAATCACAGTTAACTGATTAAAGCTCTTGACGACAGCTGAAAGGCCAATTACAGATAATCAAATAATAATAATACTAATTCAACTCCATTATTTATCTATTTACGTGCTTACTCAACAGTCCAAATACAAATTATAGAGTAAGCACGAGCAAAGGGACAAACAAAACTAACACATACACACCAAAGACAAAAGATTTACGCAATAATCATTATGTTAGTGCAGTAACACAAATAATGATGCAGTGAGGATACGTATAGCGAAATGACGACTGAAGGCCGGAATAGCTGAGCCAAAGGAGACGTACATTATTAGGCAAGTGCTCGGCAACCAAGTTTCCGCGCCAAAGGATACTCAAACAAAATTAGAGGAATTACTGGAAATGATGTTTTCTGTTTGGCCCGTGGAAATAAAAGAAGATTTCGGAGAGAGACAGGCGTTTCGGAGGAACATATCGCCTCCATTTTCAGGATCGAAGATTAACTCAAGCAAGAAATGAGCGGAAGTAGGCAGCAAATTGTATGGAATCCTTACTGCGCAGACATCCCCTCTGAAGTTGGTACCATCTATCTGTGGCTCTACAACCCTTTTTTGGGACTTAGCCGCGTTTTCAGTTTCTTGATCTTTTACTCAATCGGTAGGACTCTTTGGACGGGGGATCAGCCCGTCGCAAGGCCCCTACATGTATACAGGTCGACACGAATACAGAATAAATGCACACAGATATCTGTGCCTCAAGTGGAATTTGAACCCACGATCCCAGTGTTTGAGCGGACGAAGACAGTTCATGCATTAGAAAGCACGGCCACTGCGATCGGCTTGAAGATGATACAGCATCTAAATAATATAACAGAGGACTGTGCGTAAGATTGAAGCACAAATATCACATGAATAATGTTTTAGGATTCAGTTCGTGTCTCTCCGAAAACACGCAGCGTCCCCATTATGAAGACCCGATGATTAATGCAATCGCTGTTTATGTCTTTAGAATCTTACGAAGCCTATAAATGAACTGTGGGTAAATTACAATTCTCAAAGTGCTGAAATTGGCAGCACAGTTACCAGTGCTTTGAACGGTTAATAATGTTTCATCCGAATGGGTATGGGGAGAAACGAATTTCTATGTCGTTACGGCGTCGATAAACCCAAACGGATTTTGTTGGCTTGCACTGACAGACCTTGCTCATGCGTGACTTTTTGTATTGTCTCTCTTTCTTCTCCTTAAGCTTTTATTCACGACGTAAAAGCCTATAGTCCAGAGTAACTTGGGACACGCGGTAGCGTAGTTGGTTGAGGCACTATGCTACAAAAGAAGACTGAAAATATCGATTGTAGCATAAATTGCTAATTTTATTTGTATGCTTTATTAGAATCTCACAAAGTAATTAAAATAGATACTGTTAGAGAGAAAGAAATTATATGTTTTGAATATTGTGACATGTACACCTATTGCTAGGCAACGGGTTGGTAAACTCGTTCCCGCAGAAACAAACGCGCCAAACAATAGGACGTCTATTGCTAAGCAACGAAGCTGTAAATACACATCCATAACAGTAGAAGACGGTGTTTACCGTCGGGTCAGTGCAGAGGAGTTATCTTGAAGGAAATCTGCGTTACAAGTTCAGTTGAAGGTTGGTAGTTAAGAGTTAGTTGCAGGAGTGCAAGTAGATATAAATTAAAAAAGTAAAGCTATCCGTGTACCAGGCCGTGAGGGCCCATAGGGTTGTGAGATGTTGAGGGTCCCACATTATCTAGACACTTGGCTCAAAGATGGCGGTAAGGTTGTCAGCCTTACGCACCGGCCGCGCTTTACTCCCACGGAAAATTATTTAATTAATTCCTGGTACTCATTTCTGTTAGAGGCTGATTCGACCCCAGGGCCATAGTGCGGCTGGAAGGATTAGGTCAATTGAAAAAAATCCGATGATCTCATCGGGACTTGAACCCTCGACCTTTTGGCTTGTAGTATAGCCCCTCAACCAAGTAGATATAGAAGACTATATTTATATTTTATAATTACGTGTAATTACTGGTGGTGTGTATCAGAAGTAAATAAACCCGTTCACCCAATCCAAAACCCACGTTATTAGTCACTACTACACATGACAATATGTTAATTTTCTTATAATTTTCAGTGCACCACTTTTGTGCAGAAGCTGTTTCGGGTTGCAATAATTTGCAGTCTTAAGCAGAAATTATGGCATAAAATATTTTTAAATCATCAGCGAAATGCAGACATTCTGAAAAACAGATTGTCATATAAATCATCATTAAAATATTGAACAACAGACTTTCCATAGTGGAGCCTTGTGGTACTTCTGTCAGCATAACAGCAACGACGATGACTATGATGTTGATAGCAACAAGCTGAGAAATGAAGTTTGATATTTCGAGATAATGCTTCCTCTTACGTAAGATGCGCAATTGTAACTGCTCTGTATGCTTACAAGCATTAACTCTACGGCATTCTAGAAAGAATCGATTAATAATAATGATAATAATGACAATAGAGAGAACAATTGTAAGTAGGCAAATGAAGTTGGAGTTTTCAAGACGGTGAGGTTTTAGTCTGTCATCTTCTGGGTTGTGAAACATATAGCGTTCTTGATGATTACAGACGTTTCGGAGAAACCTTCTATGCCAGTATTCAGGGGCAAGTGAAGTCTTGTGATTTGGTGGCGACGTTTCGTAGGAACATTCTTTTTACGTCTACAGAGTAGAAAAATGCAGGCAACAGATTCCTCCCAAAAGTTGGGAACCACCCACAAAACTACACGGAGTCAGAGGCCAGAAAACCACAGTATAAACTTATATGTCTGTCAGATGACCAAGATGGATTGCTTGAAACTAGAGAACAGATATTATTTACCGTTAGATAACATTTTGAGGTTCCGTCTGTCATCTGGTTGAGGTGGTAATGCTGATACAGGAATTTAAGTGGAATATCGTGTATATTTGCATACACTTTGCCACCGTTTCCTTAAACCCGTGTTTATCAACTTGCGTACCGTGACGTGAACCTAATTGTGCCGCGAGATTTTCAATTCATTATATGTTCTTTTACATTTAACACCAAGTGTGGCAACATCAATTATATTTTTTAGTCTTTTTCGTTATTTCCTTGATTTGTGCTGCTGTTTTTTGGTCAAACTATTGCTTTTGATATGTCTTTATATAGTTTATTTGCTATTTACTGCTCTTTTATGCAATAATTATTTCCAGATTTGACTGTTTTTCTGCATTTTTTATAATTTATTATTCGTTTCTCAAGTCACGCACAATAAGACTGGTGGTTCATATAACAAACATGGACGGTGTGAGGACTTACAATATTTTAGTCGGAAATTCTGAAGAGAGGAGACAGCTTGTGGCACATCGACGTAAATAGAAAGAAAAACACTAAACTGACACTTAGAAGAACTGCGGTATTCGTATGTAGCCTGGGTTTATATGGCTCAGGATTGGGTCCAAC